GCTAGGTCTATCTATTTAGCCACTTTCTGGCGATTTTCACTTGAGTTTTAAAGCCGCGGACTTTCAACTCTCGCTAAGTTTCGCTGCTTTCTTCTAGGGTTTAGGGTTTAGGGTTTAGATCTGGGGCCAATTCAGCTCCAGAAGATCCTTAAAGGGGCCCCCTGGGGCCCCCAAGGGTTCCTTGAAGCCCCTTCAGGGGGCCCCCAACTGAACCCTTTGGTGCCTCTTAGGGGGCGCCTGAGAGGCCCCAAAGGGTTCAGTTGGGGGCCTCAAACGGACCTCTTGGGGGCCCTTTGGGGGACCCTCAAGGGGCCTTAAGGGGCGAAGGGGCCCCTAAGGGGCTCTCAAGGGGCCCCTAAGGGGCCCCCAAGGGGACCCCAAGGGGCCCCTGGAGGCCCCCCTAAGAAGCCCTGAGTAGGGGGCCCCAAATGGGCCCCCAATAACCCCTCAGTTCCCTATGGGGCCCCTTGGGGGCCCCCAAAAGGGCCCGTGGGGGCCCCCCAGGGGCCCCCAAAAGGACCCTGTGGGGCCCCTTGGGGGGCCCCCAAAGAGCCCCCGGGCCTTCAGAGGTCTCTTTGATTTATTTGTCTTCATCAGAGTCTTCAGAGCCGCTGGATATTTGCTGCAGCAGAAAAGCAGCAGCAGCAGCAGCAGCAGCTAGTTAGTTAGCTAGCTAGCCAGCTAGCTAGTGTATTAAATGGCTAGCTGGCTAGCTAGCCACGTGGCTAGGATATTAAGTGGTTAGCTGGCTATCCAGCTAGCTAGCTAGCTAGCTAGCTAACTAGCTGGCTAGCTAGCTAGCTAGCTAGCTAGGTGGCCAGCTGCTTGGCTGGATTGCCAGCTAGCTAGCTAGCTAGCTAGCTAGCTAGCTAGCTAGCTAGCTAGCTAGCCAGCTGGTGGTCGCCGTGAGTGCAGCACCAACTTGATCCCCCCACAAGCCCCAAACCCCAAACCCCGAACCCCAAACCCCAACCCCCAACGCCCAAACCCTAAACCCTAAACCCTAAACCCCCGCGGACCCTGAGGGGGTCCTCGCAGACTCCGTATTTCTTGAGGAGGCGCTCGAGGGTTTTGGTTTTGAAATTATCTTTATTGGCCAATTCCGCAAACCCTATAATGGAGTGTACAGACACCCCGCTGCGGAAGAGGGCCAAAGTCGGCAGCTGCCAAACCCTCAGCTTCGCGCTGAAGAAAGGGGCCTTTTCCGCGTTCAGCCTGCACCAAACCCTAAACCCTAAACCCTAAACCCTAAACCCTAAACCCCAAACCCTAAACCC